CTCCAGAGCCGCCCGTATGTCTGAATTCACCCCGGGGGAAACCTCGCGGCGTTCCCTGGAGCCGCCCGCAGCCCAGCATCCCGCCTGGCTCACGCACTCGGGTACCGCCAACCTCTCCGCACCAGACATGGCGAAGAGCCGGCACAGCCGATGGACGGAGACGAGCAGGGTGAGCACCATCGACATCCCTTAGCGCAGCATCCTCAGGGCCCGCCTGCTGGCACCACCCGGGCAGGACTCTTTTTTGGGGACGCAGGGTGGGGACCCGATGGCAGCGCCACGCTCAGCATCCCGGCTCGCCCGCGGCTGATGTCACCCAATCCAAGCGCCGCCTCTGCGAGGAGGGGCTCACACCGCTGCAGCCCCCCCTTATGCCCAGGGCCCTCCTCTTGCACGCAGCCCCTGCCCGGCCCCGCTGTCTCCATGTCCCCCCTCCCCATATGCCCCGGAGGCTTCTATGGTCGTCCCTGCGGAATGGAGCGCCGTGGTGGCCGTGGCACCGCATTTTGGACGCGGTGCACATCGTGCGCGGCGCTGAGTAACTGCTGCACGGGAAATTCAGATCAGCTCTTGGGTGGGCTCGGGATTTGCATGATAAAAGAAGGAGCAAGGCACCCTGGGCCCCTTTTATTTCCTTTTTCCAGGCCAGACGTGCTCAGGGCAGAAATGCTTTGGGAGGAGCGGCTTAAATCCTCTGCTCCAAAAACAGCTCAGCCCCAGACTTAAATCCAAGCTGATGTTGTGATGCCACAGAGCTACTTCTAATCTTCCTAGGACCCAGAAGAGACACAGGGACGCAGACATCAGACAGCAGAGGAAGCAGCAAGGAGGCACAGAACCAGTAAGCAGTTCCTTGATAAGTCGTTATCAGGGGTCGTGGTGCTGTGATGCAGGGTTTTTAGCTGTGGAGGGGGCAGAGTTCAAGGCTTCCCTTTGCCTTGTCCTAGAGAGCTTTGTTTTGTTCTGCTTTGCTTCTTGGGAGGGTATCAAGAGATTGGTGGGAGCTGAGAGTGGGGAGGTGGCTGGGAGCCTGGAAGCAGCGAGCAGCTCGGTCTGAGCCTATGGCTAATGGGGTTTTGGTGCTGCCCAGCCTCTGCTGCTGCTCGGGGGGTCCCCAGCCCCTCTGTTTACCCCCACTCTTGGCCATGTGGGTATGGGATGAAGGCAGTGCAACACTCGCTTGTACCCAGCGATGGTGCCAATCCGAACTGGGGGCAGGAGTGGGGTGAGGGGGCTGTAGGAGAAGCCCTGCCCCGTATCCTGTTGCTCAACTAGAGCTGGGAATACCTCACTGGGCACCAGACCAGAGGTCTTCCGAGCAAGGGAGGGAGCAGCCAATCCAGGAACTGGCTGTGCCCAGCCTGGCTTGGGGAAAGCCCACAGGGCTCTCTTCTCTCCCCAAATTTTGTCACTCGGAGTGGCACTGTGGCCACCCCAGGATGGGCATTCCCCAGTGGAGCTCTGCCCCAGCAGCACCCCAGCAGTATGAAACAGCCAGAGTGGAAGCACCGTCACCTCGTGCACATTTGCTCCTTGCCCCCGATTAAATAACCATCCTGCAGTTATCAGGAGCCGCCGAAAGAGCTGAGTTGACATTAATTAGTAACCGAAAAGCTTGGTCAGAAAGGAAACGAGAGGAGCAAAATACACGGGCTTTTGTTTGCCTAGTGTAGCGAAAGTGCACAGCGCTTCACTCTGCCTATGGCTGCTCACCCCAACCCCCTTGGGCAGCGGCCCCATATTCTGTCTGCATCCTTCAGGTCTCCCTTCTTGCTGCCAGGCTTCCTGCAAGGCAGCAATCCCCCAAGCCCTCCAACATGTGAGCACACGCATAGAGCTTTTCCCCAAACACGACGTGGACTAAGAAGGGAGGAGAGCAGGAGGGAGAGCGCTGCCCATCATCCCATGCACTGACCTTGCCCTGTTTGTTTTCTCTGGGGCAGGCTGAGCAAACATTGGATGCTGGGGCCCCAGCTCCACATCTTGCTCAGTCACAGTAGGGCTGCGCTCCCGGCTGCCCACCATGAGGCTGCTGCTGCCTGTCCTGGTGCTGGCCCTGCTTGCCTCAACTCGTGCTGCTGAAGGTAAGCCCCAATCCTGCCCTGCTGACTGCCATGGGGATGTGGTGATGGTATGGATATCTCGGGTAAATCCTTGCTGCTGGGTCACGCAGCTCGTTGCGTGGCAGAGTGGGGAGAAGTGCCGACCGGGTGCCCACGGAGAGGTTGGGGATGTCATCATGTTTGCCTTCACCCTACTGTGCTCCCTCTGTGCTCTTGCAGACTCCTGTGAAGGTCGCTGTGATGAGGGTTTCAATGCCTTGAAGAAGTGCCAGTGTGACACCCTCTGCAACTACTACCAGAGCTGCTGCACTGACTACTCCACTGTCTGCAAAGCCAAAGGTACCAGCCCTGCTGCCATCCATGTCCCCTGCCACCGGCCTCGGTGGTTCAGGGTTCCCAACAGTGTCCTGTGTCCATGGGGCAATGGCAGGACTGGGGTTTGGCACTAGAGTGCTGCAGAGCTCAGTACCTTGGGAAGTGGGGACGCCTGGGGATCTGTGACCAAGCTGTCCCCTCTGCAGTGATCCAGGGAGATGTCTTTGCCATTACTTCAAAACCCATAGACTCATTAAGGTTGGAAAGGACCTCTAGGATGGACAGGGCCAACCACCAACCCTTCCCCACTATGCCTGCTCATAGACTAATGAAGGTTGGGCAAAATCCCGTGACACATCCCATCACACTCAGTGCCCTGGGAGGACCCATAGCTGGCATGGGGACACCTGGGGCTCTGCGACCAACTTGTCCCCTCCACAGTGACACGAGGAGATGTCTTCGCCTTGCCGGAGGATGAGTACCTCGACTACGACCTCCCTGTTGACACTGGCACAGTAGGGCCCACAGGGACACTAGCACCCACAGAACACCCCACAGAACCGCACACGTCCCCATTACCGACACGGGAGATCGACACGGCCACTGAGGAGACACCGGTAGAGACAGAGGTGCCCATGCTCCACCCCACGACCACCACCACCACTACATCTTATGGGACCAGGAACCCGAGCTTGGAGGATGAGCCTGAGGAACTGTGCAGCAGGAAACCTTTCAATGCCTTCACCGACCTGAAGAATGGCTCCCTTTATGCTTTCCGAGGTACCCACAGCCCTTTTTCTGGCAGCTCAATGTTTCCCTTGCCACTTGGTGCTGGTCACTCAGCTCCCACCCCCCTCTTCTTCTCTCTTCCCAGGGAAATACTTCTATGAGTTGGACAAGTCCAGCGTGCGGCCTGGCTACCCCAAGCTCATCAGTGATGTCTGGGGCATTGAGGGCCCCATTGACGCAGCCTTCACACGCATCAACTGCCAGGGCAAGACGTATCTCTTCAAGGTGGGCAGAGCTCTCCTGGTCACCGCATCCACCTCCCCTTTCCCCACCTTGGGACTTTCCACATACACATGGTGGCTTCTGGATGTCCCTACGTATGGTCATCCCCAGCACAGGTGTATCCACATACCTCTGGATGTCCCCATATCCCCATGCCCAGCACACCCACACCCGGTGTCACCTTGCCAACTTGCCTGCTCCTCCCCAGGGCAGCCGGTACTGGCGCTTTGATGACGGAGCCCTGGACCCCGGGTACCCACGCGACATCTCCGAGGGCTTTGAGGGTATCCCCAATGACATCGACGCTGCCTTTGCCCTCCCAGCACACAGCTACCACGGCAATGAGCGAGTCTACTTCTTCAAGGGTAACACAGCCAGCCCTCCTGATCCCCACGGAGGCCATGGGCAGGATGCTGCTCCCCCCGCTGCTGCTCAGCCTCGAGTACCACAGTGATACCCCATATCCTTCCTCTAGGTGAGTACTATTGGTCCTACGACTTCGCCCATCAGCCCACGCAGGCCGAATGCGACGAGTCCTCTCCCTCCACCGTGTTCAACCACTACGCCTTCATGAACCGTGACAGCTGGGAGGACATTTTCTTTTCCCTCTTTGGTAGTAGGATGGGTAAGTGCTGGGACATCGAGTCCAACCGCCCATCCCTCCCGACTGTACCCATTCACAGAATCATAGGTAGAATCTTTAATTTCGGAATGGACCTCCAGGGCCATCGAGTCCAATGGTCAACCCCTCCCTGCCGTGCCCCCTCGTACAACCATGGACTCATTAAGGTTGGAAAAGACCTCTAAGATCACTGGGTGCAAACACCAACCCATCCCCACCACATCCACTCATAGAGACATTACATTTGGGCAAGATCCCAGTGCAGATCCCATCGCACCGGGGACCCTTTGGAGCATCCCTGTGCCTCGGGGCAGGCACTGCGGGATGTCTGTGGGCCAGATGCCGGTGCCCACGTGTTGCTGCTCTCTAACTCATGTTTTCTGGCAGTTGGGGCGAGCAGCCCACGGCTCATCAGCAGGGACTGGCGGGGGGTGCCCAACAGACTGGATGCTGCCATGGCCGGCAGGATCTACGTGTCATCCCGGCAGCCCCGCAGGAGGAATTCCCGTCGCCACCGCAAGAGGTACAGGAACCATCGCACTCTGAATTTGGGTTTCTGGGGCTGGCTGAACAACGATTCCGAATCTACCGACACCGAAAGAGACTGGCTGTCAGGATCGCAGTGTGAGACCCTACAGAGCGTCTACTTCTTTGTAGGCGGTGAGTCTGGAGGAGAGTTGCCCCCTGGCGCTGGGGATGCTTTGGGACAGCGCGGGGCTGGCAGCGAGGTCTGACAGCTCCTTCTGTTCCCCCCCCAGACAAGTATTACCGTGTCAACCTGCGCACCAAGCGCGTGGATCTGGTGCAGCCCCGCTACCCGCGCTCCATCGCGCAGTACTGGCTGGACTGCCCGCAGCCCGATGAGGAGAGCACCTGAACAGGCCCCACTACGGCCACCAGCAGCACGGCACCTAGCTAGACCCAAATAAACCACCAGCGCCGTGTCCGTCTGTCTGTCCATCAGGGCGAGGTCTGTGTGTTGTGCGGTCCTGTAGCATGCCGTTGTCCCCCAAGTGTCCCTATCACGGTGTGAGTGCAGTGCTCAGATCAGCTCCTCCAGCCACTCCAAGGCTTCTTCCCACTGCAGCACAGGGATGGCTCCGGCAGCTGCGAGGCAGGAGCACTGGGTTCAGGTCTGCAGCGTGCTGGGGTCGGGCTTGTAGCCCCACAGAGCCTGACCCCACCTCTGGGCTCTGGTGGTCCTGGCCACGGTGGGGCTGAAGGGACGACCCTTCCCTCGGTGCCCGCTGCCTCCTGGCCATCCCGTGGCTGCCGCAGTGAGCTCCAGCTCCTGCCCTGGCTCCTGTTGTGAGGATGCATGAGTGAAATCCCAACCTCCCCACAAGTCTGGGACTTTTTTTTTCCCTCTCTCTCAGCTCTCACCGCTTTCCCTTCTGCGGCCAACAGCTGGGCATGGTGCCATCATCCTGGGCAGGCAGCGGGAGGCTGGCACTTCCCTTGTTGGGGACAGGCAGTATGTGGGAGCCAAGCAGAGCCATCGGGTTGCCCCCGCACCCTGCCACCCTCTGTAGTGGGACTGATCCTACCTGGGACACAGTGGCATTGGTGCAGCACTGGGGGCAGCTGGAGGCAGGAGGCAGCTTCTGCAAGAGGCAGAGGGCAGTGGGTGTTGGCACAGTGTCACCATGCGTCATGCATGGGGTCATCAGAGACTCACCGGCAGCCGATGTGCAGAGCTGGGCATCATGTTGGGGTGCCGGGGCCATGAGGGGTGGCTGAATGGGATGTGGATGCTCCGGTGTGGGGCCTGGCTGTGGGATGGGATTGTCGGCATGTCACCACTGCTGGAGCCTGGGAGCAGCTGGGGCTGCCTGGGGAGCAAAGGGAAAAGAGCAGGGCAGCAGAAGCCTCTCTGAACCCCGCAGCCCTGGGAGAGGCACTGACACACCGGCTGCTGGAGACCCTCTGCTCTTGGGTCCCGTGTGTCCCGAAGGACCCCCATACCTGAGCTGCTCATTTTCCACCACAAAGTCCCGCAGCAGGCCATAGAGGCTGGACCAGGCTGGAGCTCCCTCCGCTGGGAGCTGCCCTTCAAGGGGGGGGCAGTGCAGCCCCCCAGGCTCTGGCACCTCCCTGCTCCTGGGCAGGCTGAGCTGCTGCCGCAGGGAGAGGTTCTCCAGCTGCAGTGCCCGAATCTCCTCCTCTAAGGTTTGCAGCAGCTTCTCCCGAGGCACCTGGGAGCACCAGGGGATGGATCAGGGTGGGGGTTCCACGATGGGGGCTGAACATCCCCCCCCTTCCCACATCCATACCCTGTTGGCCGTGGGTCTGGTGGTGACCCTGCGGGCTCTGCTGGCGTAGTGCAGCGTGCTCAGCGTCTCTGAGAGGCAGCGCGAGGATGGGGAGACGCAGGCGACCTGCCAACGAGTTGAGGCACCCTGTCCCCATTCAGTCTTCCCCTCTGTGGGCCTCCCTGGCTCCATGTACCTCCTCTCATACCATCAGTGTGACCCCTGAGCCGCCCAGTGAGCGGGCCAGCAGCCGGGTGAGCTTGCTGTCCCGGTAGGGGATGTGCATCCGCTTTCCTCGGGGCTTGGCCAGCAGGGAGATGCAGTGTCCTACAGGAAGAATGAACTGCAGAGCATGCAGTGGGGTGGCAGTTTGGTTCTGCAGCCCACAGGGTCCCTCAGCTCTTACCCAGGGCCAGGAGGCTGCGGTTGATGTTGTTGGCCTCCACGGAGAGCTCCCCGCTGGAGCCGGTGTCCTTCACTCGCTCACTGCCGGCCAGATCCACAAAGCACAGCGTGCCCTGCTTGCTGGTGCCAGGCTGGGGAAGCACACTGTGGATGATGCTGCTGTCCTGCATCCCACCCATCCCTCCCTCGTTGTGTAAACCCCTGAGTTTGGGATGTGGTCTGTGCCGCTCTGCCCAGCACCATCAAAGCATCCTTGGGGCTGGAGGACCCCCCCCAGACCCCAATCCCCCATCCCTCCCCGTGTCCCCACAGCAGGGGAAGGGCTCACTGCTCGGCTGTGGATGTGGATGGTCAGGATGGCGTGGCTGCGGCTCGAGTGCCCATTGAGGGCGTGCGCAGAGGTCCGTCGCCTTTGGGAACCTGCTGGAACAGAAAGCTGCAGGGGGACCTGGCAAATACCCCCCATGCATACCCCAGCCCCACAGCCCAGCACCTTGCAGGAGCAGCTCGATGACAGCCTCCAAGCTCTCAAACTCCACGCTGAGCTGGTTTTCTACGTAGAAACCACGAGTTTTGCTCCAGCGCAGGGGTAGGGAGCGTGGCGGCCCTGCACTCAGCAGATCCCTGACCTTGGGAGTGGCAGAGGAGTCAGGAGATGTCAGTGGGGTTGGCACTGGGGCTGGGTGGGTGCTCACCTGCTCGTTGTAGATCTCCAGGTAGGAGGCACTGAGCGCCAGGCCGGTGCCACGGCTGTGCTCCAGGAGGCAGGAGAAGGACCGCTGCATCAGCCCCAGCAGCCCTGGGGCATCACTCTGAGGAGATGCCACGAGGTCAATGGATCACACCACATCAGCACCTGTCCTATTACTGGGTGCCAGCGTGGTACCTGTCCCAGAGGGCCCATCAGGGTGTAGGTTTTTCCCGAGCCTGTCTGTCCGTAGGCGAAAACAGTGCAGGAGAAGCTGGGGGAGATGCCGAGCCTCAGGCACGGCCCCAGGCCATGGCAGAGGGATGCCACCTCTTGGCACTGTCCGGGCAATGCAGACATCCTGGTGCCGTCTTTAGGGTGGGGGGCATATGGGGGCTCACCCTTCCACTGCCAGCTCCACCAGCTGCTGCATGCCGCTGCCCTCATAGACGGCCTCCTGTGAGGCACCCGCATCAAAAACGGCACTGAAGGTGAAGGTGGCATCGTGCCTGGCTGCACTCACCTGGGCACGGGGACGGCGGTGGCTCAGGAGGGGGTCACAACCCCTGGCCCCACCGCGGGGAGGTGGCACTCACATGGACGGTGCCGTTGCCCAGGCTGTGCACCGCGTGCCGGTCACCCCGACGCGTCTCTGTGCAGGTTAGTGGTCGGACCCTGATTGGGGGACACACACAGAGGTGACACTACGTGGGGATCCTTGGGGATCCCACTGTGATACTGGCCTGGGAAACAGGTGACACTGACCTCAGCACCACTCTCAGGCGTGTTTCTCTGCCCTCCTGCTCCTCGCCAGGGCTCCTGGGGGGAACAAGGGGCAGTGGGGTGGAGGAGGCACCCCTGGAAGAGGGACCTGAACATGCACGTTCCTCCTGCCCCACTGTGCCCCAGCAGATGGTAGGGAGTGATGTCCTACCATGTACCCGTGCACGGACCCCCCCTGTCCTTTCTTCCCTGGCCTTTTTGCAGTGGCTTTATCAGTGGTGGCTGCTCAGGCCCCGGGCTCAGCCCCTTCCATTTCCCCCGGACTTACAGTTGCAGTTGGCTCCGTGGGAGCATTTTGGGCCGTGTTCCTGCTTGGGGCCCCCAGCCCCGCTCCTCCTCTGCCTCCATTCTCCCTCAGCACCCCTCGCTGAGGGAGGCAGCAGTGCCTGCTTGGCCCCAGTGGGATCCACCAGCAGCCAGCTCTGTCTGCCCCACACAACCGGTACCACGGCTCCTGTTAAACATTGACTGGTGCCAGCCCTGCAGGAGGGCAGCATGGGGGGGGTGAGGCTGGGGGGCAGGCGACGGGTGCTGCATGGGGTCACTTCACCTCAGGAGGGATGCAGAAGGTCTCAGCATCAACTGCATTTCCCAACTTAGTGACACTGGATCTCCGAGCCTCCTTCATGGCTGGGGTCCCTATGGATCCGATGGGGGAAAGGCTTTGGGAACCGTCGGGTTGCCCAGTACCTGGGTAAATTGGGGTTACTGGTGCTGGGAAAGCAGCTCCTGGAGCTGTCGGTACAGGGAACTGCTGGGATTATGTGATACTGAGGGCACTGACGATGCCCCCGGGATGCTGCCGTCGGCGGGCACCAACCGGGACCGGCCCCAGGGAACCGCCGGGGGGAAAGGCAGGGAGGGGGGAATCGATGAGCACCGCCCGCTCGGGGCGGTCCCAGCCCACCGGGAAAGGATAAAAGCCGGGCTGGGAGCGGGGCCGGGGGAGCCGGGCAAGATGAGCGCTGCCCCAGGCACCTCCCGCGCCCCACAGCCGCTGCTCCGCTTCCCCGACGGGGCGGGCGGTCCTGCGGCGGGGACAGAGAACCGAGCTCCGGGGCCCTTCCCCTGCCCGGGGGGACCAAGGAAGAGGCGGCGGACCACGTTCAGCCGGGGGCAGCTGTCAGAACTGGAGAGGGCTTTCGCCGCTGTGCCCTACCCGGACATCGCCACCCGAGAACGCCTTGCTGAGCTCACGCAGCTGCCTGAGGCCAAGATCCAGGTGAGCAGGGCTGGGACCCCCAAGAACCCCCAACCTCCCTCCATCCTTCCCGAGGTCCCCATCCTGTATTCCCACCCCGTTGAATTGTTCCCATAGTTCTCATGGTTCCCCCCATTCCCTGACCCAGGTTTGGTTCCAGAACCGCCGTGCTCGCAGGATCCGCAGCGCCAAACCGGAGCCACCACTGTCACCACCACCAGGGGAACAGGATCCGCCCGTGGTCACCCCCGAAAGCACCATCCCGGTCCCCACGCTGCCACCATCGAGAGCCCACAGCCCTGCATGGGGCCTCCCCACCTCGCTGGGCTCTATCTCTGACCTTATCTACAGTGCAGCCATCACCAATCTGGGCGAGCCGTAAGCGGGGTGCGCTGGGGCTTAATGCCCTGAGTTCATTAGGGTGTGGAATTACTGCTGGGCCCAGCGGTCCCTACGATGCCATCCAATATCCTAAATGCTGGTGCAGCCGTGACGGGGCCAGCTCCCAATCAGCCCCCCTAATACCAACTAATCTTTTGGAAAAAATACCTTAATCTGAGGCAGGATCCGCGGATGATTGTGGCGTGGCCGCCCCTAATCCTCAGGCACGTTTGCAGGTGCCGGCAGATTTCCCCGTATCAGATATTAAAGCGTGTTCACTGAAGGGCTTAGCTGCCATCAGAGCATTAATCACCGTGTCCAGCTGTGGCACAGTGCCCACCCAGCAGGTGTCTGGATCCCCGAGGCCCAGCAGAGCCCCCTCCCCTCTGCACGGCCATGGGGGCACTCAGCGAGTTCCGCTCTCTGCTCCACGGCACCCCAGGCTCCTTTTGGAGCTGCCTTCCTTCCTCAGCCAGAGAAAATGGGTTTGGTATGAGCTGTGCTGGGAGTCAGGTGCCAACTCCAACGTGGTCACACCAGGCGTTGTCATGCTGGACAGATCTGTGTGGAAGGCAACCATCATCACGTACTGTCAAGCTGACAATGAGTGAGTACTGCTCTCCCTAAAACGGGCAGGGGACCAGGTGGGAGCAGGAAGGACAGGCTAAGAAAGAGCCCTGGTTTGCACAGGAGACAGCAGGATGTGATGCAGAGGGAGAGGGAAGATTTATGGCTGGCTGTGATGTCTTTTAGAGGCCAGGTTAGCGTGTTGCATGGCAGGAAGGAGGTTGAAAACATACACTGTTACTTAATTCTATAATAAAATGACAGAAACTTTACAGAGTAACTGAGACAGCAACAGTTTGTAACCTCCTGTGTGCCGGGGTGGTAACATCCACTAGAGGACAGTCCACAGATAAGATGCCCCAAACAAATGACTCGTGTAGTGGGCAAAAGCCTCCAGCAGGAGCCTCAATTGCAGGGGATGTGTGTGGTTATAGTTTCCCAAGGTCTCCTTCAATCGTGCGCACCATCACATACAGTTCAGCCAAGCCAACCACCGAGGCCACAATCACTGCTGACAGGACACGCTGTGGGTACAAAAAGAAAGAAAAGTGACCGTGTGTGTGTGTGTGTGTGTGTGGTCGAGCTGCTGCCTGGTGCTGGGCAGCATCTGCTGCTCCTGCCAACAGGTTCTGAGCTGGTTCTGAGGCCGTGGCCACTCACCGCCGCTGTCTCCACAAAGAGATACTGGCTGCCCAGGTATGTGCAGGCAAACGCAGCCACCACGGTGACAAAGAAGTTGAATATGGTGATGACTACAGCTTTCACAGAGCGAACTGCAGAGAAACGGGAGAGAGGAAGGATTGGTGAGGGGCAAGCTGTAATCCTGCTGGCTGAATCTGCCTGTGACTGCCTCAGCTGGGCTACAGGAATGCTTGAAAATTCACGTTTTATTCACCTCTAGAAATACTTTTCAGAACTACAGACTGGCTGCTCCTTTACTGGAGGAATACTTTGAGCATTTCAGGGAGGTGCTGTTGCTCAGAGAGGGAAGGGCTGGCTGAGGCCAACCACTAGTGATGTGATGGCTCCTGTGCCCAACTGCTCTGCTACGTACCATCAGGTGTCAGCAGGACAAACAGCCACTCACCTTGCCTCCCGAATTCAGCTAATGTCCCATGGTTCATATCCTAAAAGAAGGGATTAAAACAACTTGTGTTCCACTGTATTTTAACATTATTTGCAGAATAAAAGCAATAGCAAAACCCTGTCCAGTTTCTAAGACCTGCTGAGAGCTCTGGACAGCTTCTGCTGGGCCTTGGCAGCTGTTGGATGGGCTGCAGGGGAGCAGCAATTCCACAGGGCCCACATTTTTCTGGATTTATGCTTGCGGTCTGATTCATTGACAGCGAGAAGGGAAATTTCTAATCAAAGCATTTCTTGGGGTTTGAGCATGTTCTCAGATGGAGATTTGCATTTAACAGACCTTAGAGGGTCTTGCCTTGAATTGTGATGTGATAGCAGGCAATGCCCACATACACATGGGAGCATCCTGAACTTAGAAAGCCAGACTCAAACAAGAGATTGAAAGCATCAGCTTCTGCTCTTCATGTGAGCATCAGCTTGAAGATGAACTGATGTGTAACATCAACCTGGCAGCCTGGCTACTTTATTATTTTGCCCCTAAGATACAGATGGATTTTCTTCCAACTTCCCCCCAGTTTTGCCTCGGGAGCACTGAAGGTACAGTGTTCACAGAATCACAGAACATCCTGAGTTGGGAAGGGATCCATAATGATCATCACATCCAACAGAGAGAGCTGTCCAGCTGCTTCTTGAACTCCAGCAGCTCAGTTCCATGTCTGCTGCCCTAGGGAACTTGTTCCAGTGCCCCAACACTCTTTGGTAAAGAATGTTTTCCTGATAATCATCCTGAACCTCCTCTGCAATTGGACATGCTAGCGGGGGTTGGACATCCCTAGGTGGGAATTCTCCCTCCAGGCCCCTCACCTGCCTGGTGACGTTGCGGGTCATCCGCCGGTATTCCTCATTGGCCAGCTTGGCCTTTATCTGCTCCAGCCTGGCCACCAGCTCGGGGTTCTGCGGGAAAGCCGCAATCACAGTGAGGGCCTCGGGAGGTGGTGGCAGCTCCCAGCTCTTCCCCAGCCCTCACCTACCCGCGGCTGCACCGGCACTTCGGGCAGGGCGATGTCGCTGTCTCTCAGGAGCTCGTAGAGGAACAGCGGGGATCCTGCGGAGGGCAGAAAGGGGCGGTTAACGGCGACGCGCGGTGCGGCGAGGTGCGGCCCAATAGGCCTCGCGCGGCCTACCTGCCTCCCGCAGCCCGCTGTGCAGCCTCCGCAGCAAACTGAAGGGGACCACGGAGCCTTTGGAAGCCACGGCCTCCCGCAGCTCATCTCGCAGCGCGGCGGGAAGCCCGGACAGCTCCTCGCTTTCCACCGCCCGCCTGAGCCGCGCTCCGGCCCGAATCGCCGACGCCATCTTGCCCGGCTAGTCGCCTAGGCAACGCGAAACACCATAGAGCTCCGACGTGCCGGCGGACTAGAGCGCCGCCGGGGGAGGAAGTGGGAGGGAGACACTTCCGGGAAGCGGAGGACCGGAAGTGGGCCCGCGCTGTAGTGTGGGCCGGCGGCGGGATGTCGGGCGGCGCGGCACGGCGGTACTTGGCGGCGGCGCTGGGTCGGTGCCGTGCCCGTGGGCTGCCGCTGTGGGAACCGCTGTGGGAGCCGCTCCCGACCCGCGTGCCGCGAGCTCTGAGCGGGGGGAGCGTCGCGGCCCTCTCGCTGCTGCCGCGGAGGCACCTGTCGTCGCGGTGAGGCCTGTGAGGGGCGGGCGTGACGGCGGGGTTGGGGTGGGTCGGAGGTTATTGGGGCATGTGAGGTGCTTTTGGTGTGCATGGGGGGGTCTGGGAGTGTTCAGGTGGGTCTGGGGGTGTTCGAGTGGTTGAGGAGTTGTTGGGGCGGGTGGAGGGGTGTCGATGTGGTTGAATTTTGGGGATTTTTGTGGTTGGATTTGTGAGGGGGTGTTGGTGGGTCAGGTTTTTTTGGTGCGTTTGAGGAGTGTTGGGGGTGAATGAGGGGGTATTAAGGTGGGTGACGGGGTATTGGAAGGGGTTTTGGGTTGCATCAGATGTTTTTGGGATGCGTGGGGTTGTTTGGGTTGTGCTTGGGTTTAAGGGAGGGGCATTCAGGTGAGTCAGGGACCCCAGGGGCAGGTGGAGGATGTTGGAGTGCTTGGAGAGGGATTACTGGGAGACTGGGGGTGACTGGAAGAGGGAGGGAGGTCTGAGGAGGGGGGGCACTGGGGCAGAGGGCGTAGGTGCTCATGGGAACGTGTGAGGTAC